TTTGATGTCGTCGGGGTACAATTCTGTCTCTAAATGCAGCGTGATCACTAGGGAAAATCGGAATTCCCAAGATTGGGTCTAAAAAATCCGAAGATTGCTTTTAAAAACCCAAGATTCGCAAAATATTATTATTGCCTATATACATAAACTTCATTTAAAAGTCCTTCATTTTAAAGCTTTTTCAATGAAATATTTGTACTGTATAGGCCTTAACGAAGTGTCTGGATTTTCGAGACCAGAAACTCGTTCGCTTTGGGTCATACTATAAGAAGGCCTACTCTGTGCGTCCGTGGAAAATCCTTTTTGGTGACTAAAACGTGTTATCATTTCCTCTGGCATTGTATGTTTGGCCAAGAGTTTGAAGTTTGTGCGCAATTTCACCCATTCGATATTAACAAAGTCAGTACTTCACACACATTAGGCCTATGGCCTACAATATTATATAAATTTTTCTTAGAATTTTTTTTTTCTACAAAATTTCTTTAGAGGTTCTAAGAACACTATAGAACTCTATCGGAGTTCTTCAGGATTTCTATTTAAACTGAATTATCCACTGTTGTTTTATATTCTTATATACTTGATGCAATAGCTGATATTAGTGGGATAGATTAAAAATAGACTAAAACGCAATTGCTTGTACATTTCGTTACCATCTCAGTAACTACATCGATTTTATGGGTGCAACGGTTATCAGAGGCTAAATTTATTGTGAAAACAATGTACTGTACGTTGTTAAAATTGGAAGTGTGTTAACTGTTAACCTATTATGCCAAAATTTTTACAGTATACTGTGTGTTTAATATTATCTGCATACATAGATTACTGTTTTCCTAATTTCCAAAAAACATATGGTTAGTCAATTGAATATTATATAGGCATATCCGTTATTAAACAATAATTAATTATACAGCATTTGACACAGACAGGTCTATCTATTTCGATTTATTTTCGTGATAACACAAGTTTACGAACTTCAGTGTTACGTTGACGAAATCTCGTAATGATGTCATAGGCCCTAATAATCAGTGGCGGATTCAAGTTTGGCCGTAAATTAGACGGTATTTCCACTCACAATGGTGTAGTCGCAATACTACTTGCACAAAAGTGATATTCAAAAAGAAGAAAAGGAAAAAAACCTCTCGATTGATTTTAAAAGTACTGTACATGCAAAGAGACTAATTAGTGACTGTTTTAAGTTTATCTTATTTGTTTCTCAAGAGAATACGTCACAAGCTACGGTAATCATTATTTTTATGAATGTTAGTCATTATTTTTATGAATGTTAGTTTGCACGAATATAAGCGGGCATAATTATGATTACCAGGATAATTTGAAAAAACTTTTAATGATGAGTATTTCAGTGGCAGATTAAGGGGGCCCAGTTGGCCAACCCATATTTTTTTAAAATTTAAAAGGAAAATATTCAAATTTAGTCAGAGCGCGCCATTTGCGGCCAACCCGAGGTGCCATATCATAAATCTTCTTACCTCAGCCCCAACCATGGTGGGGCTGAGGTGGTCTACACTCTCCTCTATTTCAAATCTCTGGATCCGCCACGGCGGCTTTTAAAAAAAATGTAGTGTGGAAATAAATGTCGATTGCATTCCTTAAAATCAATTAGATACGAATTATAAAAGGCTATAGACCACCAGGGCCCTAGGCGCAAGGCTTTTTTATTTTGCATTTCGTTCCCCCACCCCCCTCCCTTGTGGCCAAGTTCGACAAATTTCTGATAAAAATTGTTTCAAAAAATCGTGTTTTTTTTTGTTTTATTTTTATTTTGTCCATTAACCCTTACCTTCAACATTCAAATACTTTGAGATCTTTGGTCATGGAACAATTGTGACCAAGTTTGTGATTACAATTATGGGCTGTAGACAAATAATAAAAAATAATAGTTTTTCGTTGATTGTGACCTTGACCTTCGACGCTGACCCTTCAACATTTAATCAGATAACGGAACATTGTGGCCAAAAAACTATGGGCTGTAGGCTGTTCACAACAAATATGCCGACAGACAATAACTAAATAAATAAACAGGCAAAAACCATGGAGGTATTGTTCACTATAATACCTCCATGCAAAAACATAACCTCAACTTCGCTGGCGGAGGTAATAAAACAATCAATTGGTCTGCTACACCGTGACAAATTCTGTACTAAAATTACCCCCTGCCGCATCAGGTGAACAGTTCCTGGTTTACCACATTTGTCTTGGCAAGGCCACATTGATTATACTGTACTGTTAAAAAGTGGATTATGAGGATTTATTTCTTAAAGAAACTCAGCATAGCTGGCCTGGACCCTCAATCTCTAAAATATTTCTATTGTACAGTTATTAGATCTTTTATTGAGTATGCATGCCCTATTTGGTACACTGGTATTGCCAACAAATAGGCCTACCCTTGAGAAAATTCAAAAACGAGCCGTTGGTTGCATGCTACCAGGGGTCCCTTACGGGGAAGCGATGTCTCTCGGATCGATTGATGGGGATGAGCATTCACTCGTACAACAAACAGATCAGCAAATTTCATCATCAATTATGGATTATCTCATGAATGGTGATTCGATCCGTGTGGCCCCTCCCCACTCTCTTGATTGTCTAACACTCTTTCGGTTCATTGATATTGATGTGGCTTAAGAGGCCCTATCTCCCTGTGTGGGACTCCTGGTATCGGCATCAATTTCAATATAAGAACAATAATAATAATAAATATTAATATTAATTGTTTAATTTACTGGGTGGCTCTCATGCTTGCGACTTCTGGTCTTTGAGAGTCTCCCAAATCCTTCAATTTCAATTTTCTTTTATATTGTAAAATTTTGTTGGATTGAATAAATCGATTTGAGATTGTGATTATTCAGATTGGGTTATGTTTCAGAGATACTTTATTAAAACAATCAATCAATTTGGTTACCTAACCGTCTTTATATTATTATTTTCAAGCCTATAGACAACCCAAACAAAAAGTGATCCAGAAAATCAATTCCTGTCCGTCTCTAACTTTCGTAGTGTCAATAGAGCGAGGGTGGTGTTGAGTTTTTGTTTGAAAATGCTTGAAACCAGAGTAGGCCTACGATAACACGCTCTCTTCTTTCTGCACTTTCTTTTCTTCTCCCTATTTCTATTCCCCCGTGCTCCCTGGATCTGTCTCTAACAACGAATAATTGAATGATTGTTTGATAATGTTTCATTTGAACTTAGATCAATACATTATACCGGTATTCATAATTAAGTATGTTACCTACCGTATTCACGCTAATGAAATTCACGGACGCAAAATACGATTTATGCATATACTTGTGTGTGCAAAATATTAGTTGATTATAGTTAAATAGTCACCCGATATTTTTTGCCATTGTCTACTTTCAATCGATTCTACACAAACGATCAGTTTCGGTGACAAATAAAATACTGATACACTGGTACCACCACCATGTCATCAATCATCGGATCATCAGAACAGGGAGTTGTTATTTAGAACAACTCCCTGATCAGAATCCTCTAAATTTTTCAGAATTGTAAAAAATTGGGGAAAAATGACATTCAAATTTTAAGTCTGAGAGTGCCATTTCCAGCCTTCTATAGGTGACATACCGTACCCTTAAATCTTATTACCTCAGCCCCAACCATGGTGGGGCGAGGGGAAAAGTATTTAGGGGATTCCCTCCCCCACACTCTTCCCTATATATGCCGTCGATCCTGGCGGCATCACTGGCCAGAATAGTATTAAGAATAGTGTTTCAATTTAGGCAGGAAGGGGGAGGCTCTTATTGAAGTTTCAAAATTTAGCATAATTTAAGATAGTATAAATACATAATGAGATTAATCAGTGGACCTTTCGGTTTTTAGCATAATTTCCCATCAGTCCTAGCATAAGTTGATTCGCATCGCTGGTCACACCAGACTCCATGAAGGGCTGATGTTATCATGCTAATAACTAATGGGCCGATTAAAATGACAAATGTAATATTTGATTGAGCTGTACGAGTACTAAAAGTGTTATTTGAACTTGACTTACATCCTGTGGATATTTTTATATTTTAGTTAGGGGTTTTAGATAATTAAGTAAGGCCTAAAACCCTAGAACTACTAAAAATTATACATAAATAGGTATGAGATTTGAGTAAGGCCTATTTCCACGAAACTTGATTATTGTAATTCACTTTTATTTGGCCCTGACAGTTGTAAGTATCGTAATTCAGGGTAGTGTGGGGGGGGAGGGTGCGATAATAATATTTTATTTAGCTTAAGTATATAAAACTAATATAGAAATTAATTGTTGGTATTGTTTAATGGTTAATCCCATAAATAAGAAACACCATTCAATAAGTATCGAATGTGCTTTATATTTTTGTCATAAGAAGTAGCTGCTCCCAGCTGAACATCCTCCACTCTGACGAGGAGTACTGGCAGGCTTTTGACCACTACACGACAAGATGAGAAAAATCGATAATTATATTTTGGTGACAGTACTGTCCACTCAAACAAAACAATGCTGTTGAGTGAGTACGAGTAGTTGCCAGGCAACAACAGAAGTTTGAAATTTAGCATTGATTCATTTTATAGATTTCACGATAGACTTGTCTTAAAGAATGGCTGCAGTCAGGATCAGATAATGCTTGTGAATTTGTTAGAAATATTAAATACATAGCCTACAT